GTCCCGGTTCTCTGCGGCGCTGGAGTGACGTGGAAAGACGGACAGATCTGAGCGCTTCCAGACAGGCGATTAAAATGATTGCAAGAGAGAGGAGGGGGAAAATCAGAAGGCGGAAAATTCTCGCAGCGCAGACAGGCGAGCCCAGAGCTGTACAAGTTAGCAAGTGTTGACACCTCGTGTTGGCGTCTCTTCTAGAGGATTAACATCGCGGCGGTTTTACGTAGGTTTGGTTTACAATGATGCCCCCCTGGGCGCCTGGGCCCGGGTGCGAGACTGCGGCCGAAGCGCCGAGCGGACCCCAAGCTCACCCTGCAGATTTGTTCTGAGCGACCGAGGTCTCGCCCCGCCTCACACACACACACACGCGCGCGCACCCCCCGCACCCCAGCCCCCGACGCCCCCCTCACTCACTGCGCGGTGCCGCGCTTGGAGGGCGGCACCAGGTGGGGGGGCAGATCGGCGGGCAGCTCGTGCCCCTCCAGCTTCACCTTGATCAGGTGGTTGGCGAGGGCGAACTCCTCGTCGTCCAGGAAACCGTCCTTGTCCACGTCGGCCAGCTTCCAGATCTTGCCCAGGACGGTGTTGGGCAGCTTGGACTTCACCATCTCCCTCTTGGCGCTGGCGCCCGACACCTTGCCGTTGACGGGCGACAGCGTGTAGAAGATCTCGTCGTAGTTGGGCTTGTCGCGCCCCACCACCCACTCGATCTCGTCGATGCCCTCGCCCGCGCCCTCGCCGTAGCCGTGCCCGAACGGCCCGTTCATGGTGCCCTCGAAGGCGCCGCCCTTGACCGCCTGGCTGGGCATGGCCGCCTCCTCCTGCCGCACCAGGGTCATCAGCCGGGCGATGTCGTTGGCCAGCATGTCCTCCACCGCCTCCATCAGCTTGGGCTTCAGGGACTGGAACTTGCTGAAGTCCTGGGTAGCCAGGAGCTCCTGTACAGAGAGAGGAGGAGGAGTCACGGCCTTACGGGGCGAGAGGAGGAGGAGTCACGGCCTTAGGGGGCGAGAGGAGGAGGAGTCATGGCCTTAGGGGGCGAGAGGGGGGAGGGGCACGGCCATACGGGGCGAGAGGGGGGGAGGGGCCACGGCCATACGGGGCGAGAGGGGGGGAGGGGCCACGGCCTTAGGGGGCGAGAGGGGGGGAGGGGCCACGGCCTTACGGGGCGAGGAGTGGGGGAGAGGGGGTCACTGCCACACAGCGAGCACCAGGCCAGGAGGGGAGGGGTTAACACTGCAGACTGCCGGGGGACAGAG